AATCTGGATGTGAAAGCCGAAATAATGATTGCTGCCAATGAACCACAGGTAAATCAAGAAAACTTAAAAGTATCAACATAACCTCACTTTTCATTAAATTTAATTCTTACTATATTTTTATTTTAGGAATTCGTTCCACGTGGAAGGCAGGAAGCAAATCAACATCCGCGTCCTAGTGAAGTTCTACAAACGTAAGCTGAAGGTCACGATAAGTTCTTAATTGAAGACTTTGAAAAAGTTTCTATTGTTGCCGATTAATGTTCAGAAAAGTGGATTTTAAGGCTTAGCCCGTAATATTTTGATGATTACACTGTTAAAACAGTTAAAGAAGAAAATAATAGTAATAATTTAGAACAAGAACAAAACGAAAATAAGTATTTTGTAAATTTATGTATTTCGACCACTTTGTATAAATTTTGAACAAAAATTAAATTAATTCTAAAAGTTAATAATTTTTATAATTAAAACAATTATAGCCCCAAATTAATTTAATGATTATTTATAAATACATATATAATTATAAATTAAAAAATAAAACTGTTAGATATTGTTGTATGAATTTTAATTCCACTACAAATCTTAAACATAACCTAACATTTTCAGATTTCAATTTCAACCGGTTTTTTCTACAGGATTAAAAATAAAAAGGATTCCTCCGTATGGAATCGATTTAAAACGTGGCAAATCTGGATGTGAAAGCCGAAATAATGATTGCTGCCAATGAACCACAGGTAAATCAAGAAAACTTAAAAGAATCAACATAACCTCACTTTTCATTAAATTTAATTTTTTACTATATTTTTGTTTTTGGAATTCGTTCCATGTGGAAGGCAGCAAGCAAATCAACATCCGGGTCCTATTGAAGTTCTTCAAACGGAAGTTGAAGGTCACGATAAATTCTTAATTGAAGACTTTGAAAAAGTTTATTGTTGCCGATCAATGTTCAGAAAAGTGGAGTTTAAGGCTTAGCCCGGAATATTTTGATGATTACACTGTTAAGACAGTTAAAGAAGAAAATAAAAATAATAATTTAGAACAAGAACCAAACGAAAATAAATATTTTGTAAATGTATGTATTTCGACCACTTTGTATAAATTTTGAACAAAAATCAATTCTAAAAGTTAATAATTTTTATAATTAAAACAATTATAGCCCCAAATTAATTTAATGATTATTTATAAATACATATATAATTATAAATTAAAAAATAAAACTGTTAGATATTGTTGTATGAATTTTAATTCCACTACAAATCTTAAACATAACCTAACATTTTCAGATTTCAATTTCAACCGGTTTTTTCTACAGGATTAAAAATAAAAAGGATTCCTCCGTATGGAATCGATTTAAAACGTGGCAAATCTGGATGTGAAAGCCGAAATAATGATTGCTGCCAATGAACCACAGGTAAATCAAGAAAACTTAAAAGAATCAACATAACCTCACTTTTCATTAAATTTAATTTTTACTATATTTTTGTTTTAGGAATTCGTTCCACGTGGAAGGCAGCAAGCAAATCAACATCCGGGTCCTATTGAAGTTCTTCAAACGGAAGCTGAAGGTCACAATAAATTCTTAATTGAAGACTTTGAAAAAGTTTATTGTTGCCGATCAATGTTCAGAAAAGTGGAGTTTAAGGCTTAGCCCAGAATATTTTGATGATTACACCATTAAGACAGTTAAAGAAGAAAATAAAAATAATAATTTAGAACAAGAACAAAACGAAAATAAATATTTTGTAAATGTATGTGTTTCCACCACTTTGTATAAATTTTGAACAAAAATTAAATTAATTCTAAAAGTTAATAATTTTTATAATTAAAACAATTATAGCCCCAAATTAATTTAATGATTATTTATAAATACATATATAATTATAAATTAAAAAATAAAACTGTTAGATATTGTTGTATGAATTTTAATTCCACTACAAATCTTAAACATAACCTAACATTTTCAGATTTCAATTTCAACCGGTTTTTTCTACAGGATTAAAAATAAAAAGGATTCCTCCGTATGGAATCGATTTAAAACGTGGCAAATCTGGATGTGAAAGCCGAAATAATGATTGCTGCCAATGAACCACAGGTAAATCAAGAAAACTTAAAAGAATCAACATAACCTCACTTTTCATTAAATTTAATTTTTACTATATTTTTGTTTTAGGAATTCGTTCCACGTGGAAGGCAGCAAGCAAATCAACATCCGGGTCCTATTGAAGTTCTTCAAACGGAAGCTGAAGGTCACGATAAATTCTTAATTGAAGACTTTGAAAAAGTTTATTGTTGCCGATCAATGTTCAGAAAAGTGGATTTTAAGGCTTAGCCCGGAATATTTTGATGATTACGCTGTTAAGACAGTTAAAGAAGAAAATAAAAATAATTTTGAACAAGAACCAAACGAAAATAGTCAATTGTATCAAAGCAAAGTGAATTTATCAAAAAAAAGGTTATCAGATGTTGCTTTTAAAAGAATTTTTTCGGGTGCCGGAGATAGTAAAACATGTCAAAGTGGTGCTAAATCACCAGGAAATAGCATAAATAATAAATCTCTTCCAATTACTTGTAAGCCTTTGCTAAATTTTATGGAGGAAGAACTTTATTTTAAAGAAAACACGGTTATTTGGAGTCGAGGAATTTCTTGTGGAGATCCAAATCCAACTCAAGATATAATCAGCTGTTATTCGTCAACATTCCCAATAAAACAAGCACTTTGGTGTAATTTTTATTGTGAAAAACCAATTTTAAACATTGAAAATCAAGAAATATGTAACGATGATTTATTAAATGACCCAATTCCTGGTGTAATTATATTGGACACTCATTATCTTCGAACGTATATAAAAGAAAGTGAAGATTTCACTGTTGCTTTAATGTTTCAAGTAAAAAAAGTTTGGACAACAAAATTTGGCGTTCTATTAGAACGCGATACCACAACAATAGATAAAAACAATAAAACTTGTGTTGCAAAATCACCGGTTATGTATTCATTATCGCATCCTTTGGATGAATTAAGCCCTGTTGTTTTAAAACATCACAATACTCAAATTGCGAATGATGAAGCATTTAAAGTTGTCTTTACAAGCGAATCTCCTAGTATTTGTATGATTTACGATGCCAATTTGGGTGTTCATAACGTTTATAAAATTAGGAGGTTATTTTTAAACGAATGGGTGGATGATTTGAATAAAACTGAAGGATATAGTCATTCAAGTTTTAGTACTTCTAGTAAAGTAAGTAGTAATTTATAGTAATTTTTTAAATTTAATAAATTATTTTTAGATGAAAAATATAACATCAATTTGGGATCATTTAAAACCAAACATGACAACTCCTGGAGCTCCAAGTCCATTTAGTACACGATCGAATAGTTATACAAGCGGTCAAAGTGGTTATCATCCTTCAGGATCTCAAAGTCCAATGATGTAACTTGAGAATGATTTAATTTATTAATTAAAATTGGTTTAATTTTTGCTTTTTTAAGATATAATAACTCATCAACATCAATTGGGTCATTAACCCCATCAAATTTAAAATCATCTCGAATGAACAGTTTATTAAAAAACGTTAATGTTCCTAAATATGGATATATTGAAATGGAAGATGGGGAGATTTTGCCACCGACGACTCCTAAAATATGTTTGGAACACCTTTGGACGGAGAATCCACCAACAAATTTGTAAGTTTCGAAATAATTATTTAAAATCAATGTTGCCACCAGAGGTTATTAGGTTATTAGTCCTAGTCAGTTATTAATTTGTCCGGTTTTCATAAAAATTAAGAAATTATACGTTTTTCCTAATCCATAGGTATGCTTTGACAGCAAACATAACCTCAACACACATTGACATGTATTTACTACCAAAATGTATTTGCTCCTGACCAGGTACGAATTTGAGTGATCGCGAACATTAACTAGTCCGATAATCGTTCCAATTCATGGCAAAAATCAATCAACGGTTCGGTTAGAACACTATTAGATAGTCAAAAGTGTGGTTAGAACAAACCTATTAATGGACGATTTAAATTTGACACTGATGTGAAGTTAGCGAACATATGAAACAACTTCACACATCTCAATTATTTCAAATTTCAAGTGACAGTTGTCAAACATCATATTTTTCTAACCTACAAAGGCATAATGTTGTTAAATCTTGTTATTTTATTACGTAATATGTAATTACTTGTGCAATTAGTAAAAGTGATAGATTGTAATTAACATTGGGATAAGAAAAATGCCAAAAACGAGATGAAACCTGGTTTGATAAGGAATGTAGTATAATACAGGGTGTCGTTAGAACTTTTTCAAGTTCCACTATTCGTAAATATTTGAAATTTTGATTTGAAACTTTCCATCTAAAATATTTTCAAGATGGTCGCCACTTCCGATCTACCGGGATAATACATTTATTTTATTTGATTTAATTATGTGATTTTGTTTTATTTAAGAGATGCTTTAAATGGTTCGGCTTCGAAAGCTTTTATAACTGAAGATTTCACCTCCCAAAATTATTTATGTTTTATGGTCCCATCGAAAAATCAGTTGTACGTAGTTAAAATTGAAATTTCAATTAATAATGTTATTTTTGGAATGTCGATGAGCATTGGGGCTAAAGATGCCATTTCAATTCCGGTAAAAAAACGATAATTCCAATAATTAATTCCAAATAAAATATTAATTTCTTTTCAGTCGATGCATATGTATGGGATTTTAGAACACAGTGGAAACGTAGTTTTATATTCTGGATTAACAATGATTGGAAAACTAAACATAGGCGGAGTTTTACCACAACATATTTCATCACCATATGTTATGGAGAATATTCGCCATTTACAATCACCTTTTCCAAGGTAATAATGAGCAAATAAATATTTTTGTCCACAATTATCAGACTATTAATAATTATTTGAAACGTCAAAATTTCAAAAAACGTCAATTTAATTCAATTTTTTATTTATTTCTAAAGGTTTGACATTAAAAAAACGTAAACAAATTCTTTTTTTCGTATGATTTAAGCAGAAATTAATTAATTTTCGTAAAAAAAACGACGTTTCATAAAATTGACATTTAATTGTGACAAATTGTTGTGAAGTTGGTAACATTGAATTTGTGTCACATTGACGTTTAAACTTTATTCAAAAATTAAGAGCGCTTAAAACCGCTGTAACCATGGTAATTATCTATCGGTTAAATTTATCAAGAGGTGGTAAAAGTGAGCCTAAAACTAGAACTAACACTAGACCTAGAACCAGAAGTAAGATATCACTATGTCGTATATTTTTATTGAACTAAAACTAGTTGTCAGTGTCTACTTTAATTTTATTATTATATTCGTAATCTCCATATAATAACCTTTAAATTGAGTCCAAACTTGACGCATTTATCTCAAAAAACCAAAAAGTTCGAACTTTCAACTTTTAATTTTGACATATTT